CTTCACAGAGTTGTTTCTTGCTGCCGTCCGCCGTTTGACGTGTTGTTCCTTGCAGTCGTCTTTGGTGTTGGGCGGTTGAGTGGCTTCAGGTGTGCTGCCTGGTGCTTCACACGGGTGACGCTCGCTGCTATGTTCCGCTTGTGGGCAATCTGCCTTCAACAAGGGTCAAAGGGTTCACGACCCAAAACATCCAAAACCGGTACTCCGCAGATTGTCGAGGGTTCAGCCTCCTGATGAGTCGGTGCAATTCCGACGAAACAATCTTTCATCATCGGTTTTATTTTTTTCAGTCGTTGCCTTGTTTATACTTGTATTTTTTTCGAGGCTGTTTTTGCATTGTCGTCGTTTGTCTTGCTGTCGTTTCCCTTGCTGTCTTACGCTGTTTGCTTGCCCATCCGTCTACCCCATGCCTTTCACCCAGTGTGCTTTGTTGTCTTGTACTGTTTGCCTTGCTGTGGTTTCCCTCGCTGCCTTTCGCTGTTTGTCGGACAAAGGAGTGTACTCGGTGCAACCCCTGGGTAATTAGTTTCGTACATCCGAAGTAACCATCGTTCAAGGGTCTGCATTATCTGAGAAGGCGTTCTGTATTGTATAGTTTGCTGCGCTGTTTTTGGCGTGGTGGCTTCCTGTTCTCGCAAAACACACACACACACACACACACACCCTCCTCTTGATGCAGTGCTATCTCTGCACACTGGGAATGATCACCACATAAATCACACACACACACACACAACCAAGCAAGTCACACACACACACACACACACACACACACACACACACACACACACACACACCAGCACCACCACCACCAAGCAACTTTTATGCATGTACACACACACACACACACACACTCTTGATGCATGTCTTTCTTCGGATTCTTCCTGTTTTTTTCCTCCTTCCTCTGTTCTCCTTGTAGTTTTCTATGTTACTTTTTGCATGCCTAACTGAGCACCCTCAAGCAGTGCCAAAAAGTCAGTCATTCCTCGTTTGGAGTGCCTGCAGCACTCTTAGGGGGTCCTACGTTACTTTTTGTACGCCTAACTGAGCACCCTCAAGCAGTGCCAAAAAGTCGGTCATTCCTCGTTTGGAGTGCCTGCAGCACTCTTAGGGGGGGTGCCAGTTCGGGATGGCCGTCTGTCCTGCGGGTGATGGCAGATGTTTATTGGAGTGACTCTCAGTGAGTGGTGGGAACCAACACTCTGTGGGGTTCACCCGTGATGAGAGTAGGGGATGTGCCGCTTTGCTCCGTGTCGGATGTGTGGGCTGCTTCCTTTTTGCGCTCCACCGCTGCCTCACTTTGCCCGTCCTGCTTGGCAAGCTGCTGTGTTCGCTGTGTGTTGAGGCCGTGTTGATGGCGTTGCCTTGTGCCTCGCTGCTCCTCTGCCTTATTTCCCATCCGCAGGCAGTGCCTTTCATAACCTTTGCTTGCGTGCATTGTAGTTTGGTTGCCTTGTTGGTCTTGCCTTGTGCTTCATTGCACGGTTGCCGAGCTGATTGTCCGCTTGCCCTGTTGTTCCTAGCAGTAGTCTTTGGTGCTGTGCAGTTGGGTTTCCTCGGCAGCCAACGCCGAGCTGATTGCCTGGCGCTTCCCTGAGTTGTTGCCTGATGCTGTGTGTGTGGCTGCCTTGTCGGTCTTGCCTGGTGCTTAACTGCGTGGTTGCCGTGCTGTGCACCCGCTTGGCATGCCGTTCCTTGCAGTAGTCTTTGGCATTTAGCAGCTGTGTTGCCTCTGCAGCATTGCCTGGTGCTTCGCCGGGTTGCTGTCCATTGCCGTGTTCTGTTTGGGGACAGTCTGCCTTCAGAATCAACAAGGGTCAAAGGGTCCATGACCCAAGCCCTCAATACCGGGATTCCGATGATTGTCGAGGGTTCAGCCACCTGATGACTCGGTGCAACTCCGACGAAACAATCTTTCATCATCAGTTTAAAATTTTTCAGTCTTCGCTTTTTTCAGGCTCTATACTTTTGCCTTGCTACAACTTTTGGCCTAGTGCCCTGTCTTTCATTGCCTTGCATTGTTTGCTTGCCCGCGCGCCGCCCTTATGCACTCCAGCCTATGCCGCTTGATGTCTTTACCCTGCCCTGTGTGTTTGTATGTTGTCTTCCCTCCCACCTCCCCTGATGCCCTCCAGCCTATGTGGCTTATGTGAAGTTATGTCCTTCTCTTTTTTTTCTTTTGAAAAACCAGTCTCCTTCTTCCAGCCTTTCTTCTGATCATTTCTTACCTGTTGCTTGTTGTCTTTCCCTGTCTTGTGTGTTGGGGTGTTGACTGCATGACGGTTGTTTTTCAGGTTTGTGAGTCTGTTTCAATGCGACCACGCCTCTTCCCCCAATGCCCTCTAGCCCATGTCGCTTGTTCTCTCTTCCCCTATTCCCTGCCTTGTCTGCTTGCATGTTGCCTGCCCTCCCCGAGGCCCTCCAGTCTAAGCCGCTTGTTGCCTTTTCCGCTTCTTCTTTTTTTTCTTTTGTATGTCATTCTTTCCATTTTTTTTGGGAGATACTTTGTGTGCGTCCAAGCGAGCACCTCTCAGAAGTGCTAAATAGTCGTTGCTCCGTTGCTTGGAATGCCTGCAGGCCTATTAGGGTTACAACCAAGTTCATGATTGACGACTGATGCTTGCTGGAGTGACTCCTTGGCTCAGCAGGTGATGGGAACTCACAATCTGTGGGGTTTGTGGTGTGAGTACGTGATGGGTTGCTTTGGTCCATGTTGGATGTGTAGACTGCCTGGCCTGTGCTCCGCTGCTACCTTGCTTCCCGTCCCGCTTGTTTCGCATGTCGTCCTCGCTGCTCTGCTGCCTTCTGGGTCCTTCAGTCGTCTCTGATGAAATGCAGTTGAGCTGCTCCGGCATCATTGCCTGTTGCTTCGCTGAGCTATTGCTTGCTGCTACGTTCCACTTACACGCATCGCTGCTCTGCTGCTTTACCGTCCATCTGCATGCCATGCCTTCCACGTCCTGCAGTCGTCTTCGGCGATATGCAGCTCGGCTGCTTTGGCAGCGTTGCCTGGTGCTTTGCCGCGATGCTGCCCTGCTGCTATGTTCCGCTTGGGCCCTGGGGACAGTCTGCCTTCAACATGGGTCAAAGGGTTCATGACCCAAAGGTCCCAAACCATCCAATACGGGGATTCCACTGATTGTCGACAGTTCAGCCTCCTGATGAGTCGGTGCAACTCCGGCGAAACAATCTATCATCATCAGCTCTTATTTATTTTTCATATTTTTATTTTTTTCGGCCTTTGCGCTCGCTTCCTGGATCACTGGTTTGGCGTTCTTGCATGTCGTCTGCCCTCCCTCCTCCCCCGTGCCCTTGAGCCTATGGTGTGCCTTGCTGCTTTGGCCTCGATGCTTTTTTGCCTGCCTTGTCTTTGCATCTTTTTTTCTTTTTTTTTCGGGTTTGCTTGCTTGGTCTGCTTTGTGTGTTGTCCTGTCTCTTATACACATCTAGATGTGTATAAGAGACAGCCACCGCTCCCCTTTCCAAGGCAAGAATGTTCACG